TTTGGCTGATGTGTATTTAATTGGAATCATTTCCCACTTACTAAAATTTAATGTTTCTACTGTATAAAAATGTGTTGAATTATACATGGAGCTGTATGATGATGCCACAAACTATTTTCTTGCAATGATAATATTAGGGTTTGCAGATGTCTTTCAGAGTCAAACAAAACTTAATTGAGGACCTGACAAAACTGGGACTGTCACAGCGAATATATAAAATATATGTGGCTATATTTTTGTAACTAAATTGCCCAGTTTCATCCAAGATGGGTAACTACAATCATTATAAGCTTGGAAGCTCGGTGCACAGTATTGTATGTATATAACAGAGGTGTGTGTAACACTAATGTCCCAGTTATCCTTTAAGAATAGCCTGGTTTTAAAAGTTCTAATGCTGAAATGTCTTGATAACTGTCTCTCTAAAATTAAAAAAATAACACTATAAGTAATACTTTTCCACATCCAATTATATTGTGCTATTACCTAGGGAATATGCAACTTCTTTATTCCTTTAATATGTTTTTCTGTCTCTTCCTGCTAAGTGAGTTATATCCACCACCTCCTGTATTTGTGTTGAGTGATTTCAATTTTGTAGACTATCTTATTTGCATGTGAAAATATGCATTTAGTTATTGGAACACATCTGTATGTGGTGATCTTTGGGGTACTTTGGTGCCTTTTAAAACTTGTCTTGTCCTTGGATTTGTTACAGAGAGGTTTTGGTTCTGCCGATTGGCTCTGAATCACAAGGTTTTGCACTATGGAGACCTTGAGGAGAATGCACAAGGGGAGGTGCCATATGAATCATTACAGGAAAAAAGTAAGAACCACAGCATAACATTTGATATTTCATTATCTGCTTGCTTTATAACAATTCTGTTTGAACTAACTGGGTTATTTCCACTTAAGGACATAGCTTCAGAAGTAAAAAAGTCAGCAAGACAGAACATTTGTGTCCTTAAAGAGACACTCCAGATCCCTAAAGCACTTCACCTTGCGGAAAAGCTTTATGTTTGAAGAGTGTATTTATTTGGGCAATGGAGTGTCCCTTTAAGGGGTTAAATAATCAAACTGACATACATAGCAGATTTATAGACTTTTTTTAATTTGGCATTTTGTCATGACATTTTAAATGTACTTTGAATTTCAAACACTTAAATGCCTTGGTTTTGTTTAGTTTTTTTTCTCTTTATTCCTTCTTCTCTAGTTCCTGTTGCAGACATTAAGGCAGTGCTCACAGGGAAGGATTGTCCCCATATGAAGGAGAAAAGTGCCCTGAAACAGAACAAGGTGCCTATAATGATATGTATTTTGTAATCTGTCTCTTTAATGCATTTGTCCTTTTACTCTCAAAGTGTAACTTCCAACTTTCTCCTTCCTGTTTTTTTCTTTTTTTAGGAAGTGTTGGAGTTGGCATTTTCTATACTGTACGATCCTGATGAGACTTTAAACTTTATAGCACCTAATAAATACGAGGTAAATTAAAAGTGAAACAAAGACAAATTAGTGCAGAAGGTCACAACGTGGTCTTGAAAAAGTATTGAGGAAAACAATCCAGGCAAACATTTGTCCTCAGATTGACTTAGAGCTTGTTGATAAATAGCTGTCGCTGTTGACGTCTGGTAGCTTTTAGCGACTACAAATTACACCTGTTTTCCGATCTTGTTGCTGAATTTTTATAACCTAATGCTAATAATTGCTGCCACTACAGATACCAACCACTTCCATACTGTGGCTTACTGGCAAAGCACAGAACAACACACCTGAGGATGCACACCACTCTCTGCACGCAGTAGTGACTAGCAATTAGTGACTAGCGAGTAATACATAAAGATGTTTTATTTAAATAGGATGTATAGGGATTTAGTTGTCATTAAACTCTTTTTTATCAGACAAGGATACTGGTGTTTTGGTTTTATAAAATTTGTTGATTACTGTCACCTGGTAATTATTAGTAACAGAATTGTAAACTAACTGCTAAGTAGCGGTTACAGCATCCATGTAAAATTATGCAAGATGTTAGTTAGCAACCAGCTTTCGGAAGCAGCAGCGACCGGTAGCTGCCACTAAACTTTACATTCAGAAAGCAAGTAGCAGTAGCAGCATGCACAGCAATGAATAGTGGCTGGTTACTAAAAAGTAGCGACAAAGTTGTAAACAAGCCCTTAGTTGGTCACTGGTAAGTCTACAAGTTTCTAAGTCTGTGATAATTGAGCTAATTCTAGTGGAAATTTGTAAGGAATTTTTTAAAAGGTTCTTAGTTTGGAACACCTTGCATAGGTATTTTGTATTATCCAAACATAGAAGCCACTAATCACAACCATTAACATGTCAAGCGAAGTAAATCTTTCATCTTCTCTTATCTCTACATCAGTATTGCATCTGGATTGACGGAGTGAATGCTCTGCTTGGGAGGGAGATGAGCAGTGAACTGACCCGTAGTGATATGGACACATTGCTCAGCATGGAGATGAAGCTTCGTTTACTGGACCTGGAGAACATTCAGATTCCTGAGGTTCCTCCTCCCATTCCTAAAGAGCCCAGCAGCTATGACTTTGTTTATCACTATGGTTGATTCAGTGAAGTTGATGGAGAACATGCACATCCACTAACTAGGAAAGGATCTCTCATTAACCAGCAGTATAACAAGCCAAGATCTGCTACTGAAAGGGACAGGGGGTTTCAAGTAGATCTCTACCCCCAGCATCCACTAACCCTGTCTTCATCAGAGTTCCTGCTGGATAGGTCTCTGCAGTAGATTTCAGTATGGATTCCTTGCGTGTATATGTGGTACTTTGGTTTACAGGTCCTGGCTTCCCTTACTGGATTCCTCCAGAAACATTTCAATCTACTGTGGTACTGAATGGACTTATGTAAACTAGATGCACTGACACAGAAAGAGTTTAGATTGCTATAGTTCTATTTTTGCCTTAATGAGTAAATTCTTTATCCAATCAGAGAGCAGCAAGCCGCCATCTATCCCAAGTCTTAGAGTAAAACTTGTATTTTTGCTGCATATTGCATTGTAGTCGTTTCTAAATCAGAGCACAATACGTCTGTACTTTTAATCAAAACCGTGACATTTTCGTTCCACTAGAGGCACTAGGTTTCTCTGTGAGTGCATAAACCTTTTGCTACACCTTGCATGAAGGTAAACTAAAGAGGCTGCTTTTCATTGAATGTGTATTTGAGAAAGCCTACTCATCCTAGGTACGAACTTAATCCCACACCCAACCCGCAAATGTAGATATCCATAATTGGCGGGCCATTACATGTTGGGAGTTAATATAAAAGGCTGGCATTCAGAATGTGTTATGTTACTAATAAAAATATTAGAACAAGTGGTTTCTGGCCAATGTGATATATGACATCTCTGTCGATATGACAAGTATGAGAAGAATATATGAAAATTTCACCAGTATAACCGAAACCTCTTCTGTGGCTGCAGTGTACTCCTGCGAAAGATGTCTGTTGTCTATGCTCTAGTGAAATTGTGAGGTGGGAGTTCACAGCTGTGTGTGTGTTTTTTAAATGTCAGAGCAGTGTGATTGGTTGGAATATAATACAATCAAACAGAATAGATGGGGTGCAATAAGAAGACCTTATAGTCTAGCATTATAAGAGGATATTTAGGGCACACTTTAAACACTTAATCTATTACAACTTACATTAGTACACGGACACAATATTTCCATGTTTTTTAAATCATTTACAAGCTTTTGACAAAATGTAGTAATTTCTTTGGCACTCTAAGCTTCCCCCACCATGATAATTAAGAAGTTTCACTCTATTATCCACACAAAATATTTGGGGTTATCAGGATTTCACCATGTTGAATCCTTGTTAATAGGACACTCCACTGCTCAAATAAATTAAGCAGATATAGCCCAGTGAAACCATGCTTACATTCAATTATGCATTTTTCATTGGGGTGTGTGTGTGTGTGTGTGTGTGTGTATATAAATAAAAATATATAAAAGCCTTTGCAATCCCTTCCCTTTACCCCCACCCAGACTCTGTCTCTCCAATCACATACTTTCCAATGCAGCTCAATGAGAAGTCTTTGCAAGGCAGGTGCTGTTAGCAATTGCGGCCTCTCGAGTTTAGCTTCATTGAGCTAAACAAACCGGGAAATAACAGAACCCGATGTCTGTTTGACAGCCAGTGATTTGTAACAAGGTTAATTTATAAAAGTGCTAAGTTCTACTGAAATATGCAATATTTGCAAAATGAAAAAAGAAAAAGACACACTCTTAACCCACAAAGCACTTCAGTGAGATGGAGTGTTTTAAGGGTCTGGAGTGTCCCTTTAAACACTTGCATCCTGCCAAATTAAGACATGTTTTCCCGCGAATCTGCACACAAAGATAGTGAGACTTCCTCATTATCGTGTTGGCAGTAGAGGAGGAGTACCAAAAAATATTTCTCTGTGGCATAAAAGATTTAATAGGGGGACAGCACCTGACTTCCATGGTGGAGAGACGTGTCTTGCGCGAGCTCCTCTCCTATATTGGCAATACTAGAAGTTCTTAGCTTAATCAAGCCCGATTTAAAACGTACCCAGCGACTTACCTGCCTTTTGACCTGGCTGCAGTGCACGGTGGAGGTCAGAAACTCTGCAGTAAAACCTGGCCTAGAGCGCGCCGGGTGGGCTTTTATGACCTACTGGGAATGGGGTGAAGCCACTGAGACCGCAGGGACATCAAGTGACCCATCAAGCATGGCGGAAGTCATGCAGCAACCCAACACAGTCCAGGAATAATGGACCTTGTGTCCAGGCTCAACAACATTTTAGGAAATTTCTGGCAGAACCTAGAAAATAGGAGGCAACAGACCACCCCAGAGCAGTTGAAGGGCCACTTACCTCCACAGTGGATTTGCGGCGCTGGCAAAGATGAAGTCACCAAAATGGTGGCGAGGCCGGAAGCTCCCATCCTTCCAACAGAAGGCGGCACACAGAAAAAAAAACACCCCAAACCAATGTTGGGACTTTTAAAGTGCCTGAGGTTGCTTAAAGCTGGATTGTATGGTGAGCCTGGTAAGAGTTTGCATACCTCAATCCTACCTATCATGATGACCAACCTGTATTTATTAGTCATGGAGTCCCTGTGGTGTTCCCCACTGTTATGGGACTGTGCTTTGCCCTCAGTTGGCGTAGGATGAGCTGGGCTCACAGACTGGGCACTAAAAAGGCATATGACAACTCGTCTTTCCCCTCCTCCTGGTATGTGCTGGGAGACTTGCCTCCTATTGTCTCTCAGGTGTACTCGTATGAAACTCAGGTTGCAGTACTTGTATTTGCTGAAAAAATAATAAAGCAAAGTCCGATGCAAACAATCCAATAGGGGCAAGGCAGAAGCAAAGTCGGGCAATCCAATGGTTAAAATCCAGGCAGCAGAGGTTCAACAACGATAATGCAGTCCAAGGTCAGATAATACAGGTATTCAGGATATCAGGAACACAGGTAATACCAGAGAGGTAGCACAGAACAATCGAGCAATGAAAGCTCAGCTGTTTCAGGTTTAAATAGAGTGCCATACAAAAGGCACACCTACTTAACAAACCTCCATAACACCCTATTGGTGTATGGGGCTGTCAATCAGCTGGGGTTGCCATGGAGGTGAGTGTAGTTTTAATTTGTTCCAGTCGCACTGTCTTGCGGCCTGGAATTATCGCGCACGTCTTCCAGGCGTCTTTCGTTGCTTGGGAGACATGAAGTGATTGGAGTTCATGGGTCGCGGTCCGCCTCCTGCATTTGCGCATGCACGCGGGTGGCCACGACCCGTGTACAGTCTTGACAAAGTCTAACCTTATAGCTTTCTATTATATTGTTTCTGTAACCTTTGGCCTCACATTTATTATTATTCCATCAATCTGGGGTCCTACTAGGAGACTCAATATACCGAGTTACGCGTTGTTCTATTTCCTTACTGAATACTCTCTACCCCATTGTGTTTAAGCTTATGCACACAGCATGTTTAGTCAACGCTATAACGATTTTCTCAAGCTACACTGTATTCATTTTTTGTTTGTGTTTTATAAAAATGTGCTGAAACATCTCTATGCCTATTCTGACATGACAAGTTAATGCATTGCAATTTACAGGGAGTGCAGAATTATTAGGCAAATGAGTATTTTGACCACATCATCCTCTTTATGCATGTTGTCTTACTCCAAGCTGTATAGGCTCGAAAGCCTACTACCAATTAAGCATATTAGGTGATGTGCATCTCTGTAATGAGAAGGGGTGTGGTCTAATGACATCAACACCCTATATCAGGTGTGCATAATTATTAGGCAACTTCCTTTCCTTTGGCAAAATGGGTCAAAAGAAGGACTTGACAGGCTCAGAAAAGTCAAAAATAGTGAGATATCTTGCAGAGGGATGCAGCACTCTTAAAATTGCAAAGCTTCTGAAGCGTGATCATCGAACAATCAAGCGTTTCATTCAAAATAGTCAACAGGGTCGCAAGAAGCGTGTGGAAAAACCAAGGCGCAAAATAACTGCCCATGAACTGAGAAAAGTCAAGCGTGCAGCTGCCACGATGCCACTTGCCACCAGTTTGGCCATATTTCAGAGCTGCAACATCACTGGAGTGCCCAAAAGCACAAGGTGTGCAATACTCAAAGACATGGCCAAGGTAAGAAAGGCTGAAAGACGACCACCACTGAACAAGACACACAAGCTGAAACGTCAAGACTGGGCCAAGAAATATCTCAAGACTGATTTTTCTAAGGTTTTATGGACTGATGAAATGAGAGTGAGTCTTGATGGGCCAGATGGATGGGCCCGTGGCTGGATTGGTAAAGGGCAGAGAGCTCCAGTCCGACTCAGACGCCAGCAAGGTGGAGGTGGAGTACTGGTTTGGGCTGGTATCATCAAAGATGAGCTTGTGGGGCCTTTTCGGGTTGAGGATGGAGTCAAGCTCAACTCCCAGTCCTACTGCCAGTTCCTGGAAGACACCTTCTTCAAGCAGTGGTACAGGAAGAAGTCTGCATCCTTCAAGAAAAACATGATTTTCATGCAGGACAATGCTCCATCACACGCGTCCAAGTACTCCACAGCGTGGCTGGCAAGAAAGGGTATAAAAGAAGAAAATCTAATGACATGGCCTCCTTGTTCACCTGATCTGAACCCCATTGAGAACCTGTGGTCCATCATCAAATGTGAGATTTACAAGGAGGGAAAACAGTACACCTCTCTGAACAGTGTCTGGGAGGCTGTGGTTGCTGCTGCACGCAATGTTGATGGTGAACAGATCAAAACACTGACAGAATCCATGGATGGCAGGCTTTTGAGTGTCCTTGCAAAGAAAGGTGGCTATATTGGTCACTGATTTGTTTTTGTTTTGTTTTTGAATGTCAGAAATGTATATTTGTGAATGTTGAGATGTTATATTGGTTTCACTGGTAATAATAAATAATTGAAATGGGTATATATTTGTTTTTTGTTAAGTTGCCTAATAATTATGCACAGTAATAGTCACCTGCACACACAGATATCCCCCTAATATAGCTATAACTAAAAACAAACTAAAAACTACTTCCAAAAATATTCAGCTTTGATATTAATGGGTTTTTTGGGTTCATTGAGAACATGGTTGTTGTTCAATAATAAAATTAATCCTCAAAAATACAACTTGCCTAATAATTTTGCACTCCCTGTATATAATAGTAATAATAATGTGTTATCATCACGCACAACAAAATGGAGACTACACCTTGCATCCTTCAGCTTCAGGCAAATAAATCTCTAATGAGACAGAGAGGGGTATTTTTCTAAAGCCCTACATATTTATTAACCCTTAACATGGAACACATGGGATGGGTAGCAGCATTGTAGCATGACTGTGTGATGCAAAAGTGAATACAAATATAAGTCCTGCACTCAGACTCCCTCTACTCCTGGGTGGCTGCAGGCTGAAGCAATGTGTCACCACTGGACTACCAGGCAATGTCCCACACCCCCTCCCTGACTAAAGGTAAGAAGGGAGGGGGGACATAAAGTTTTTAAAAAAAAATTTATTTAAAAATAAAAAATGCATTGTACCAACACGTTCACTTTGAGGGGGTATACTTGTCATTGGTGATGACAGAACACTGCCTCTCTGGCCCAGCCCCCCTGGGACTGTTCCGCTGTGATAAAAAAAAAAAATGCCTGGGCCAAATGGTTTCCCCCAGTCCGGCCCTGCCTACAAGAGTTGCCTGCCTTGGTGCACCCAATTGTAGAGACTCAGGGTCTGACTTAAATTATCTCTTGGTAATGGTAAAAGGGATGCAAAAAAATCAAACCAGGGATCATCCTCTTCTCCCTGAAGACTTAGCAAGCAGAACACACACAGTGCGACTACTTGGGTGTGCCACTTTTAGTTTCCGGGTTTTTTTTTATATAATCCCTCTCCACTGATAGTGATGATTTATGGCATATGGGGAGCATAAGGAAGCATATAGCTTAAATAAATTTAGCTTGCAGTGCAAATCCTCACTTGCAGGAGAAACACAGGCCTGCAGCAGCCCCTACAGTTTAATTTATTTCCCCTCATCTTAGGCAAGCGCATCAGTAGTTTAGATGACTGACCAGTATAAATATGTGAGTTTGTCTTATGTCAGCAAACTGATGTTACTAGTCTTTGACTAAATTACAGTAGGCCACATTAAAGGACCACTATAGGCACACAGACCACTTCAGCTTAATGAAGTGGTCTGGGTGCCAGGTCCAGCTAGGATTAACCCTTTCTCCTATAAACATAGCAGTTTCAAGAAACTGCTATGTTTATATAGGGGTTAATCCACTTCCGCGCTTCTCACTGTGATTTTCACAGTGAGAAGACACCAGCGTCCATAGGAAAGCATTGAGAATGGACTGGCTGAATGTGCGCGCGGCTCGTGCCGTGCATGCGCATTCTGCCGATGACGACAACAAGGAGGAGGAGAGTCCCACGCCTGGCGCTGGAAAAATAGGTAAATTTATCCCCTTCCACCTCCTATAACCCGGCGGGAGGGGGACCCTGAGGGTGGGGGCACCCTCAGGGCACTATAGTGCCAGGAAAATGAGTATGTTTTCCTGGCACTATAGTGGTCCTTTAAGACGTTTACTAGTGAGCATCTAAGTAAGTTTATGATTCACACATTCTGGTATTTGTTTTATTTGGATATAAGGAAAACACAAATGTGCCCCAGTAGGCTATGGCAGGTCTCCTAAAAGTCCAGATTTGAGCAGGACTATTTTTGGAACCTGTCCTATGGTCCCAGAATTTTTTTCTTCGTGTCCCGCAGCCAGGGAGCTTTCTCCAGCCAGCACAGCTTGAGCGCATCACTAGGCAAACTTGCACTGGGATAAGGGCACTAGGCCATGGAGTGAGCACTTCAGTAGTACTCCATGTTTGCTGTTTAGTGGCGGCTGCCAGCCTGGTGTGCATTGATGCCAGACTGACACACCTCTAATGTGGATGGGTCTGACCACATTACCAGTCACACAAGTGGCCTCACAAAATACAAATTAAAGGACCACGATAGTGCCAGGAAAACATACTCGTTTTCCTGGCACTATAGTGCCCTGAGGGTGCCCCCACCCTCAGGGACCCCCTCCCGCCCGGCTCTGGAAAGGGGTTAAAACTTACCTTTTTCCAGCGCTGGCGGGGAGCTCTCCTCCTCCGATCCTCCTCTCCTCCCCGTCGGCTGAATGCGCACGCGCGGCAAGAGCTGCGCGCGCATTCAGCCGGTTACATAGGAAAGCATTCATAATGCTTTCCTATGGACGCTGGCGTGCTCTCACTGTGAAAATCACAGTGAGAAGCATGCAAGCGCCCCTAGTGGCTGTCAATGAGACAGCCACTAGAGGAAATAGGGGAAGGCTTAACCCATTCATAAACATAGCAGTTTCTTTGAAACTGCTATGTTTATGAAAAAATGGGTTAACCCTAGCTGGACCTGGCACCGAGACCACTTCATTAAGCTGAAGTGGGCTGGGTGCCTAGAGTGGTCCTTTAAGGAAGAGCGCACACAAAAATACAGTTTTACGTTTTCCAAGGCTACTTAAAATCACCTATCTCCGCAAACAAATATGGGTATTCAGTTCCACCGTAATATCATGTTAAACCTACCACCAGTACTCCAATATCGGTGGGTCCTACTTTAATTTAAAAAATGTTTTAAACAAATTAAAGTGATTGCTTTTTGATGTATATACTCACAATGCATATCATATATCTGCTTTATATCAAATAAAAATTATTATTAAAGTGACATTGCCATCCAAAAAACTCTTCGAATGTATACTTTCTTGTGGTCGTCTGCAAAGAGGCATCAGAAGCTGGGGGCGGGGCAGCATCCTTAAACCAAAAAGCCCACCACTACTTCACAGTATCCTAATGTCGGTGCTATGGGCATCCCTGAGGGGGTTTCATCACAGTCATGCCTACACCATCCCAATCGCATACCTCCCAAAGTTGGGAAGCATGCCATGGTTGAAGAAAAATGTGAGGGGCACAACTTTTAATGTATCACTTTAGGTTAGAAAGGAGTCTTGACTAGGAACTAATGAAAAGTTACATACCGCCAAGCTGGAGGAATTGTCCTAAATTTGAGGTTATGTCCCGTCTTCCTGGGCTTGTTCCCGAAATTTGAATGCCATCAATCATGGCAGAGTGATAGCATCATTAGATGAGCTTATACTGCTCTAAGCAAACTTAGCACAACGCCTATGGGCAAACAGCTTGGAAAGAGCTCCGTGCATGGTCTGCCTTGAAGTGGGCTGGCCAAATAGGCCATCAGTCAGTTTGGCATCCACACATGCACCCTCGTTGTTCTTCAAGCAGAAAACAAACAGATCTATTTACTAAACAAGAGGGGCAGGGCGTTGGATACTCACATGTTGAACTCTAATTGTTAAACTTTAGCTACCGCAGAGATGAGAGGGGGTTATCAGTGTTATATCCCCTCCATTAATTTGATGGTCCCATGCCACTGGGATAGGGCAATTTTAGAGACTTTTTGCAAGTTTTAGTAATGGTGAGCAGCCACTGACTTTATTAAATATATTCCCACCCGCAGTAACAGCAGGTGTTCTCCCTAAACTTAGATGGTGATCATGTTGACCCCCATATGCACTTCCTCCCCCATTTCTGTTTATGCTAAATGGCCTCACACTGCAGAAGTTTTTTTGCAACCATTTGCCTGGGTGTTAGTGCTCTCAGTAGACAAATAGTCTGAACATTTAAAATCTAGGCCCGGATTTCAGCTATCCACGGGCATTCAGGCAAGTTAAATATCAGGACCAACTTCTGGGTCATTCGAAGTCAGAATTGCAAAATCCTGACATGGGTAAAATGTTATTCCAATCCGTTTTTTGCTGTTCCAGTTTATTTCTTTATAGTTTTCTATTGGGAACTGGTAAATAACCCCCCTTATTACTATCTAGAAATAATATAAAATGAAGGAACAACCTACCTGCAACCCAGGACTATAGAGAGGCATGGAGTCTGGGGGAGGTCTAATAAAAGGCAGGGAGGGGGAAGATACCGGTAAACGTTTCCCCTTGCAGGCACTGTGCAGTGCAGCATACACTGATGATAGATGTATTTTCTTTTGCACAGAATTGACATTTGGCGGTCCGGCACCGGAACAGAGTTCCAGGCTGCTAAAGTCACGTGTGCCGGTGGTGCACAAAAGTACATACATCTCTGTATGTGCATAGTGTCAAGCAAAAACGCTGCACATAAAGACTCCTACCACCATGACCACTTCTAAAAGCATACGTCGTCACGGTGCTTGGAGTAGTCCACTTTTCCAATCGGAATGGCCCTATATGAACCCAGATGATTGTGCTCCTCTCGGTACATAGCCATTAAGTCTTTACTACATAGACTTAAAAGTGAGACACTATGGGTGGGTCTCAGTCTTGTTCTCTCATATGCTTCTTTTTTTTTTTTTTTAAATATACTAATCTTTCTGACACTTTAAACTTTTATTTATATGTGAGAATTGATATAACTCAGTTACTGGCTGTGGCCATGAATTGTCTATGGGTATAGTACAAGTGGGGAACAAGGGTTGTTTGCTTATTTCTTCAATTTACAAACAATTTGAGGAGGCTAGTGTTGTTGCAGACTGTTTTGCTGGCATAACCAATTTCTCTGCCATCTCCTGAGCATCTGTCACAATGGGTTAGCCCAGGGTGCGAAAAACGCCCCTAGCAACATAGCCGCAAGATGGAATTTTACAGATATTCTACTGACTTCGTCACGTCCAGCAGCGGTACTGCCTCTACAAAGATGGCGGAATACAAACGATGATTCACATGCACTTAAGTCCCAAGGTGCACCGCGGAGCCACGTCTTGAATAAGAAGACTACGTCGAGTACAGGAGGCGCGCCTAAGACCCCCAGCTTGATGGGATGAGCGGGCAAGAGACAGTGAGGTGACTCATATTAATGTATTCTAAGTTCTACACAGTTTCCAATAACAAGTCTCTAGTTATGCAGTGTAAGGAGCGTTACTAAGGCAAGTGTTTAGTGTGAGAGCTGTAAAAGACTGCTGTTACTGGGCTGCAGAGCTAGCAATCTGACCATAGTTACAATATAGCGTTATAGCAAACAACTGTTTATTGTAGGTACCATATAGGCAGGATAGTTTGCAACCTTACATGTACTGAAAGGGTTTGCAGATCTACCATATTTTCATGGACACATTGATAGTTTGATCAGTATATGAAAGCTTCTGCCCTGCAGTATGTAGCATTCTAATGCTACAGGTAGGTATTTGGATCATTAAAAGGGACAGACTTGGGATGGTCAGGCTGTAACTGCTGTACAAATATAGAGACAATTAATATTAAGTTAACATGGAAGTGCAACTTTTTCCTTGGCAATGGAGAGCAGAGGGCCAGGCGGTAGGTTCATTAGGGCACTCAGTTTTGGTCCTTCTACCCCTTTTGAAATTAAAATAAAAAGTTCCTTTGACATAATTAAGGTATTGCAGGGCACTTGGTTTTATGTGCTGCCCATCTGCTTGAAGAAGTGATGCATTCGTCCATGAAAGTGTGGTGGATCTGTTAAACCTACATGCGTATGATTGGACACGTTTTATGTGAAGCAACATAGGAATGCATTCTAAATGTGGCACAATCACTTTGGAAACCAATGGATTGCTCCTCCTGGATGCTTCATGCAGTGGTCCACTCACACACTTCTCAGTTAAATGAACTCTATAGGCACACAGACCACTTCAAATGAGTGAAGTGGTCTTGGCGCCATGTACCTCTCGAGGCTTCTGTCATACTGACAGCCATAGAGGTGTTTCAGAGAGACCATCTGATTGGTGCAGAGTGTCGTTTTGCTGCGATGCACACTTGCCTGCCAATCCTTTAGTATTGGAAATCTTGATGATCTCAGCCAAACAGGCAGAGCTTGCTCAAGGAGACCAGCGCTACAAACTAGAAAAGGTAGCTACAATCAGATCTAAATAATAATACTGTACAAAAGCGCTAAAATGTAGGTGGACTAAAAAATGAGAAAACAATTCCAAATCACCTCTATTCAAAATAGTCTTACCTTAAGAATTAAAATAATATAGGGTGTAATAAGGCACCTTCACACCTTTGTGTTGGATCCTCACACCAAACACATGCAAAAAAAATAAATATACCTACAGTAGCAGAGCACCAAATGTATACCTTTGTTCATCACAAATGTTCCGAACAAAAATCTCGTGATCACATGTAATAAATAAATAGAAAGCATACATATGGTGGGACCACATCTACACATTCCACCGTAGGCATTATCAGGACAATGATTCTGCCATCTTTGTTCTAGGTATTTAACTGTAATTAGAAACTCCCTTAGAGAGTTCTAATTGGTTGGACTGTTAAACCTAATTTGCATGCTTTGGGCAATTAAGTCCAGAGCAATCTTTTTAAATACACCAATAGTTCATCCGTCCATTAAATATTCAGGCAATCAAACAATATATTAACAAAAAATACCTGATACAGTCATATATTCCAGTGGATTAAATAATGGAAAAAGGCACATACCATTATACCATTATAATTATACATAATAAATATGGGGGGGGAAAGGGAGAGAAATATTTGGTGGTTAATTCAAATAATTTGGTGGAATAAAACACACAGAGTCATTATTCATATAAAAACATATATGTACACTATGTGTGTAACCAAATAAAATCTCATTTTTAACTCTGGCTAGTGCCCAGTAGCCTAAATGGTGATTAGGACACTACAGCATTAGGAATACACATTAGTATTCCTAATGCTGTAGTATTTCTTTAACTTGCCAAAGAGGACAACATCTTGTAATGTAAGTGGAGTGCTTGTCCATCTAACAGTTTCACAATATGAGTGTTGTCATTAATTATGTAGTTTTAATGATCTATAATAATATAATGTATGCTGACACATTATATTAACAATGATTGATGTATGCTTTGTATTTATGTCTCACAGTTGCCGCACGACCTGGGATTCCAGGAAAATCTCCCACACTGCACCGATTCTGAGGATTGATAGAACATTGACGTAACCATAACAATGGGCTTCAAGTACTGTGCAATCCTGTGGAAGACTCTGCTCACTGTAGGATTAGTAGTCTTCTACTATTGCTTCTCCATCGGAATCACTTTCTACAACAAATGGCTTCTCAAGGTGTGGACTGTGGATTGGTTATTGAAAATTCTGGATTATAAAGAGACCATGTGCTTTAATGTAGCTCTGTCATCAGAGATAGTCTTGACATCAACATATAGCATTTTAACACCTTAAGGATACATGTCATGATTCCCTTTTATTCCAGAACTTTGGTCCTTAAGGGGTTAAAGATGCATTGTATTGACTTTTTTTTTTTTAAATCCTTTTTGATTTTATATTGTGTTTTGCAAATTGCAGATTTTGATTGGCTGCTGTTATCACATGTTATCTGCACTTAAAAAAACATAAAAAAAAATAAAATAATATATATATATATTATTTTTTTTTTTTTAGCAGTTTTTGCCACTGAGGTTTGACAGTTGTGTCTCAATTTTAAAATGTTTATCTCCACAGTGATGATCTTGACATTTTAATTGGTAATTCTGACTAAATGGTTAGGTGAAAATAATATAAATCTATTTTCAATATTGTTTTAAACTGGTTTAATAAAATGCATTGACAGCACCACTATAAGTGCTTGAAAATACTTTTCGCATTTGCAAAATATGCAGATGTGTGTTTTTGTTTCTTCTCTGAAGACTAAGGAGTTTAGTTTCCTATATTTTATTTTTATATTATTATAAGAGCCATAAAGCAGGCATTTGTTACAGCCATCCAGGTGGGAAATGTAGGATATATAAAGTAAGTTAAATATATGTACAAGTCTGGTGTGCTAATTAGTATAGCATTGTGACCTTTAACCATGGAACTCTGTATGTTACCTCAGTCTAGGAAACTCTGCTCTTGTTTCTTCTCCTACCTCTCCCAGTGTTCTTCTATGGTCTCCTTTTCTGCTTCTTCCTGCCCTCTGCAACCCCTCTCTGTTAGTGTTCCTAAAGGTTTTGTCCTCTGTCTCCTTCTGTTCTCATCCTACACTGCCTCCCTAATCAAACAATCTGTTAATTTGGCTTTCATTGACACAAATCTTTCTTCTCTCGATCTTTCTTTGTTCCTCTTGAATCGTCTCCAGTTGCGTTCCTGCTATTTCCAACTACATGGCAGCTCACTTCCTTATCTATACAAAACAGAATTTCTTATCTTACTACTCTTGTATTTATCTCTAACCAAGTCAAAGTTCTACCTCACTGTCTCGCTGTCTTTGTCTTCTCTTCAACTCCAACCTCTCCTTCACCCGTCACATCCAGTCATTTGCCAAATCTTGTTGCTTCTATCTCAAAAATATAGCTTGCGTCCACCCCTATCTAATTCCAGATGTAGCTAAGGTGCTCGACCATGCCACAGCCAATGCTATCGTCTACTTCAACTTCCTGTCCTACAGGTTCTTCTATATACCCCCACCCCATTGCTGGTCCAGGCATTGGCTTCCCGTAACACATAGGGATACATTTTTATTTGTTTTTTATTACGGTCCTCCCAAATCTCTTCATAACACTGCTCCTGTCTACCGGTCCTCACAAGCACGTGAGTATGTCCCATCCAGTTCCCTATGCTCTGCTGAAGACCTACATCTATCCTCTGTTAGTACTCACACCTCTGACTGTCATTCAAGACTTCTCTAGGACTGCACAGTTGTTATAGGACTCCCTTCCCTATAACAGACTCCCACCCAGCCTCCAGTCATTCAAAAAAATAAATCATTTAAACTCACTTCTTCAAGATTACATATCTGTTAAACTGTTAACATCTATCCACCTTGCTTCCTTTCCTTCAACTACGTAATCTAAAAATCAAACAAACTCTTGTAAAAAAACAAACAAAATGTTTTTTCCCATGTACATTACCCTATCTCTTGTGTCATTTTTACCCTTTCTCTTGTGTCATTTTATACCACTTCCGTTCCTGTACGTCCAACTGGACTTGTAACTGCTTGTTTGTTGGCCACCTATTAAACAGTGCTCCAGAATTGTTGGTGCTTTTATAAATAATATGTTATGTTTGTAAACAATATATCCTATAATGCCCAGGCAGACCTTAAGCGGGTTCTCAAACATTTGAGTTGCCTAGCTTAGCAATTGCTGGTCTAGGAGCACAAGTAACCTAGTTGATTGATTGTTTTTTCTGCGTGGGTCTGCTTGACTCTCCAGGCTTTGGAATCTTTCCCCGAATGCTGTGCAAGTGGAGCAGGTCACAGAACATGGATACTATTTGTGAGAGTTTAACTGTCCTTTAACGGACATGAGGCTGGTTTGTGTTCACTCTTACACCTTTGTGTTGGCTTCAGGGGTTTCATTTTCCTCTGTTCATGACGATGGTGCATCTTCTGATGATTTTCGTCCTCTCTGCAATATCCAGGGAGATTGTGAAGTGCTATAGCGGTCGCACAAGAGTTACCTTGTCTTGGACAAACTACCTCAAAAAAGTGGCTCCCACAGGTAACTGGCTAGTTTTTAGATTTATTTGAATTTTTTTTTTTGTTTCCTTTAAATACCATCTTTTTGTGTTTTGTTTTCTTTTGTTTTCTTTTTTTTGTGTTTCTCTAAAAACAGAAGTGGTCATGGTGGTTAAAGTAACCCTTTAATGATCTTATCCCTGATTCATAATTATACGTAAAATAAGACGCTAAGCGACATACCACAACCACTACAGTGCACTACTAGAAGTTTTTAAAACGGGCTTCATGAACAAAGATGACTTTAAATAATTACAATAATAGTCATTTTGCTATATTACATCATTACTTGGGTTTATTACGGAACACTCCATGCACCATTTCTGCTACAGAGCTCTGTTGTTATTACGGTGCTCTGATCACACACCCCCTCCCTCATTTATGTACTCAAGTAGGTTTCGAATAGTTTGACGTTTGGCAGACTCAGAGTTAATTGGGTGGGTTTTTTGTTCTTTTTTTGCATTTTGTGCTAATCTGGGGAGGGGGTGTCCAGTCTTTGTGTTATATTGATTTGTTACTAGCTCAGTATGCTGTTTAGTTATATCCTGTCTGCTATATTTATATTGTTTGACTTTCTGCATGAAAAGCATTTATTTTTTCCCAATGCATTAATATCCCTCCATGTACTGTTTTTCTTGCAGCTGTCGCCACGGCTTTGGACATTGGACTTTCCAACTGGAGTTTCTTGTATATCACGGTGTCCCTGTGAGTAGGAGAAGTGGAGTAGTAGGCATTTAACTAAAGCTCACATTCCATAAGAATGAAATGGAGATCAAATGGATCACTAACGATCATAGGAACTTAAAACACTTACTTTAATTTTTTTATTTTTTTTTTAAATTTAGGTACACTATGACAAAGTCGTCAGCTGTCCTCTTCATCCTGTTCTTCTCTTTGGTGTTTAAGTTGGAGGAACCGGTGAGTTACCAGAAGAAGAGCGGAAAGGTTGTACATTAAAGGGACACTACATGCTAGCATTTTATCTTTATTTTTTTTTTTAAGATTACATGTGAAAGAAGTTCTTAGATTGGGTCTTCATCACTATTTTAAATTTATGTTAGGGGGGAGCAAATGGGACCATTCTAACCATGTTTATGATAACTGGTAAGATATTTTACCATGTACTTTAAAATGCATTTCATTAGTCCAGATAACTGGACTTTTTCTTCCACCAAAACAACAAAGGCAAGGTTTACATTTTAGACACGCCATTGGGAGAAGAAAACGCACATGATTTGTAATTAACACCAAGCTGTAGTGAAATAAAAACCAAGTTGCACCTGATTGAACGTCACATGCTTATACCAACATAATATTTACCATGTCTTGCATCTTTACGGCGTCTGTTTGGTTTGCCTATACCATGCATCTAGACATGTTTACCTAGCTTGTTTTTTCTTTATGTAATATATATATTTATTTTTTTGATGAAACTGCTTTACCTAGAAGTTAATTTTAAAGTGCTTATGACAATTTTGGTATTCCCAGCATGTATGCATCTGCTATAGTCCAAGTTCCCCTTACACCATATTAGTCTGATTTCATATCATCTTCATTGAATAGCCATAGGAGGCAGGTGTTAAAGCTCATTAAAGTGTTTTATCAGTCCAAATAGAATCAAACTTGATCTAAGCTAGTTTGTGTTAATTATATTGTGAATTGTACTGAATGTAACCATATTATGGTTTCTGTTTTAATGTGTGTTATGCAGACAGCAGGACTCATCCTTGTAGTTTTACTTATTTCGGGAGGACTCTTTATGTTTACATTCAAGTCCACGCAATTTAACAGTGAGGGATTCATCCTGGTTCTGGCTGCTTCCTGCCTAGGGGGAGTTAGGTGGACCCTCACCCAGATACTCATGCAAAAGGCAGAACTAGGTAGGTAATTTAGTGAATAAGACCTGTCATGTGCAAAGCAAATGTGTGGAATAGGTGTGTATGTAAAGAAAATGTGCTGGAACGTTTCCAGGAATCTTTTAATATATAGTGTATCTAATTTAAATGCAACATGTATTGCTAAATTCTGTTTGTGTTGGTACATGACACAATGCTGTTTGGCATGTATGAACTACAGACATCTCATCTGTCTTTGTTGTAGAACCGTAGATAAATCCAAATGATCAGCTGTGACTAATCTGCTGGCACTGAAGTCCCAGACCTTGTTATTTTCTATCCTCAGACATTGGGGGGTACGGGGGGAGGGTGTTACGTTTAAGAAAGTGCTTTTATTAAAATCAACATTTTTAAAAATATATATTTTTTTTAGCATACTTTGCCTAACTACTTTATTATCCATGTAGATTCTACCCACTGACAAGCATTCAGGAAATGCTGTGTGCACGTGTCACTCTATAAATCTTCTTTTATCCATCTCCCAGGCTTGGCCAACCCCATCGATACCATGTACCACTTACAGCCTCTCATGTTCCTTAGCCTCTTCCCACTGTTCCTTGGCATTGAAGGTGAGAACCCTCGCAAAATTGCTTAAGATTGCATTGTCTATAATATTAGATTGCCACACATAGGCTTGTTGCTGTCTTGTTTTTGCTTGTTTGTGACAGTTGAATGAGTGCTTGAATTATGACTGGGTATAGAAGGTCAATGACACTTTTTTTATTTTATTTTATAAGACACACTTGCAAATTTTAACTAGACATTTAGAAGAAAAAGTGAAAATAAACTTTTTTTTTTTTTTGACACCCCACTTATGTCACTTGCAAGCCTGTTATCCTCACCCTTGGTGGCTCTGCCCCCTGTGTTGTTGCGTGGCTTTGTGAACCATTGCAGAGGACCTCCCAGAGAGCATCTCCCTATCATAGTGGGTAGAGCAATGGTTCCCAAACCAGCCCTCGTGGCTCAGCAGCAATTCTGAGTTAATGTATTTCCTTTTTCTCTTCCAGTGGAGGGACTGACAAAACCTGGACTTTTGCTTGGCCATAAGGACTGGTTTAGGAACCACTGGGGTAAAGGATAAACACAATCCTCTACCGTGGTACACAATGTCACAATACATATATTAACTGGTGGAAGGAGAGAGCTCTGTGCATCCCGTTCCCGCCAGGTCAAATAGACATTACACTGGGTGACCTTCAGAATGTAGGACATTGGCAGTTTTGTTTTTTATTAACCCCACATTTTAGGTTAAAAAAAACCAAACTGCATCCTATATTGAAAAACATATGGTAATTTATCTGTTCTTTGCAATGCCTTAATAGCTTTTTTTTTTTTAAACATGTCTCCTGCAGGTCTGCATGTGTCCACATCTGATCAGCTGTTTCGTTATCATGATATTCATGCACTGCTGCTTCTCCTAAGTGCTCTTTGTGCCGGGGGATTGCTAGCATTTGGTCTGGGATATTCAGAGTTCCTTTTGGTGTCCAAAACATCAAGTCTCACCCTCTCTATTGCAGGCATATTCAAGGTGATTCACCTTGTTGTGTTTTTGAATTGTATGTCAAGTGACCTTATTTTTTATCTATATCAATAATCATTTGATCTGTATAGTGTTTCTCTATGCATGCAGGGTGCTTTATGGGATAATGTGGAATATGGAAACTTGGTTAACAAAGTAAAAACAAGAGACCACCAAATTGATCATTCTAGAACTCAGAGAGAAATAACGAGAAACACTTTTTTTAGACTGCGTGAACACAGAAAACTGCTTCAGGCTAACAAAAAGGGTCATGGAAATGGGCCAATCGTTGTACTGCAAAATATATATATAATATATATTTGTGTGTGTGTGTATGTGTATGTATGTACAGTTATGGGGAAAAAGTACACCAAAGTCAAGTGAATCATTTGCTAAGCAGTAGGAGAAAAAAAAAAAAAGTTTTTTTTTTATATAGACAGAAAATGTGTGTTCTATATGGGTATATGTATGTTAATCCACATACACATGTACACTCTGAGAAATGTGAATATGATAAAATGTCTGTAAACAGATTTCCAGGGATAGGAGCAGTATAATTTAACGTGACCTAGATTTTATGATAATGAATCCTATTTGTTTGTTGCCATTTCTCTATGTGTAGGAGCTCTGCATTTTGCTTTTGGCAACACATTTACTGGGTGATGAGATGAGCCTCTTGAATTGGTTGGGATTTGCAGTCTGTATCTCAGGAATTGCTCTTCACGTTGCTCTGAAGACCATCCACGGCAAAGGTAATCTACATGCTAGCAGATTTAAATACACCATGAAAGAGAGTATAGCGCTTCTTTTTTTCGGAAAGGGATTTTGCAATGCCATTTAAAAAAATAAATAAATAAATAAATCACTAAGAGGGACACTTTATGCACCATAACGTTTACAGCTTATTGGCATGATTATGATTCACACGATCTTTGTGTGATGTCTGATTTTCCTCTCTAGTCGGTCCTCTCACCTCACCAATCTGTCAGTCCTTACATTGGCTCCCTGTATCCTATGGGAGTAAATTCAAAGTGCTAACCCATACATATAAAGCACTGAACAATTCTAGCCCCTCTTAGATCTCTTCACAGATCCGTAGGTATGCCCCTTCTCGGTCCCTCTGCTCTGCCCGTGACCTTCTCCTGTCCACTGCTCGCACCTATACAGCCAACTTGCATTTGCAGGACTTCTCGCGGGTGGCTCCCTTCCTATGGAATAGCCTGCAGACTCTCCCCTAGTCTTTAATCGTTTAAGAAGTACCTTAAAACCCATCTCTTTAGGAAATCTTATGGCCTCCCAGAGTAACCTCTACCTGTCTCTTGCTCTCTCCTAAAGGGCAGCACTCTACTCTCTCCTCCAGCTCTGCTTCACTCCCACCTTATGTGATTGCCATTTCCTGTCCTAATGTGTCTTATACCCCACCACCTATAGACTGTAAGCTCGTTTGAGCAGGGTCCTCTTCAACATATCGTGCCTGTAAGTTTTCTTGAAATTGTCCTATTTATAGTTAAATCCCCCCTCTCATAATATTGTAAAGTGCTATGGAATCTGTTGGTGCTATATAAATGGAGATACTAATAATGTCTGCCTTCCCTTTTTCAAACACTTCAATAGAAACTAGGCAACAAATGCCCAGCTCTTTGTCTGCACTTTAGAGAATATGAAACTTTGAGTCCCAGATTATCTACAAACCTGTTCAAACTGGGGGAGCAATGATGGGCTAAACCAAGCTTTGGACAAATAACTTTTTTTTTTTCATGCACACGTTTTGATGAGGGGGTGATAGAAACACCCCAAAGTATCTTTGAACCATAGCCATTTCAATAAACTATAGTTATGTTGCGGAGTGTTAATTTTTTTTAAAATCTATTTTACAGCAGAGTAATACATAAACAGTGATTTGATATTCCCTCTGTTCTTGTTTCTCTTGCCTCCACAGGAGCAGATACTCATAAATGGCACAGAACAGAGCTAAGTGCAGATATGGAACTGTTGTTGATGGGACGAGAGGATGAAGAAGACGAGGATTCCTAATAGCTGAACTAGATGGGAACGAACGTTTGTAATAAGAAGCAATCACCCACTTACTGTGAGGCAAAAGACAGATTCAGAGAGCTGGACTCTCTCTGGTCTCCCAAGTCCAAAGGGTTTATAGAACACGTGGAGAAGATGCCAATTCCTTCTACAAGTTACCTTATGCTGTACAGTCAGGGGAAGTATTTGCATCACCAGAAGTGCATGATACAGATAGCCGACATGAGACAGTCTTAAGCTGACGTTATCCTGTATCATTTTCCTGGAAGCTAGTTGCAAATATGTATTTTAGTTATAATACATTCCTGATGTTGATACTATGGCAGTTCTGGAACTGTCTGTCATTTTTAGAAGTGGAAGGAGATTCAAATAAATGGTACAATAAAATTATTTAGGCCTATTTCAGAACTACAGAAATTTATATAATTTTTTGTTTTAGATGTCTACTTGAGTAATGATTTTTTATTTTTTTTGTGCACCTATATTAGAACTTGTCACCCATTTCCCCATGAGGAATCTGTGCCTAAACCATAACAATCCAATTAGGAGCACCAAACGCAGAACATCTCATCTGATTTTTAAATTTATACATAAACTCCATATGACCTGTTCACATCTATTTTTTTTAAAATCTTTTATTATCCTAAATGGAACATGGAGCCGCTATTACTAATGATCACTTGTTCAGGTGGTGGAGGGTATTTATTGCAGAAAAATATATTTATGAAAAATCAAATAATCAAAAAACATTATTATTTGTGGTGACAAGGGATTGAAAATACTTTGAATTACACTTAAAGGATCACTATAGGCACCCAGACCACTTCAGTTTAATGAAGTGGTCTGGATGCCAGGTCCATCTAGGATTAACCCTGCCTGCTGTAAACATCGCAGTTTCAGAGAAATTGCTATGTTTACACATGGCTTAATCCAGCTTCTAGTAGCTGTCTCATTGACAGCTGCTAGAGGCGCTTCTCACTGTGATTTTTCACAGTGAAAGGATGCCAGCGTACATAGGAAAGCATTGAAACTGCTTTCCTATGGACTGACTGAATGCGCATTTGGCTGATGACGTCCAAAGGAGGAGGAGAGTTCCCAACGCCGAGGGAGTCTGGCGCTGGAGAAAGGTAAGATTATAATCCCTTCCTACCCCTTCAGCCCGGCAGGAGGGGGGCCCTGAGGGTGGAGGGGACCTATTAATACTATAGTGCCAGGAAACCGAGTTTGTTTTCCTGGCACTATAGTGGTCCTTAAACTTACAAATGAAGTAAAAGAAACAGAATGATTGCATATTTCTTGTGTACATTAAACAAGGAATATGCATTTAAAAAAAAAAAACAAAAAACAATCAAAATATTTGAACCATTTACATAACACTCTAGAAATGCTTGAAAGGTTAGAAAACTAAAAAATCCACAATCAATTTAAAGAGGCATATTGGAAAAAGAAAAGGAAATGAACACAGAAATAAAAGGAAGATGAGCAAAATAATAAATACACCTAAGGTTCAAGAGTTCAGAAAGGCATGATGCTTGTAAATGTTGCCCCCTGTACCTGCTTCAGTGTTTATAGCACAGGGAGTGGAATGCATTGACACTTATAGACGGCAGTAGCTCTACTTCGTGTCTAAGAAAGTCAGGCATAGGATAAATACATTAGACAAAGTAGCCTCATGATGAATAGATTGGAGAGAAGGAAAAAAAAAAAAAAAAAGACAGTAGGAAAGAGGAAGCGATTGGGAAAAGATAAGTACAGCATGACAGTGCCACTTTCCAGCTTTTGAACCCCTGCTGATTTTAACACCGTTAGAGATTTTTACAATGCAGAGACACTGAACAATCCATTTAGAGTTTGGGTATTTTAACAATATTTCTCTTTTTGGGCAGTTCTAACTCCTTATTGCCAAATATTAAAGTACCATTAGTACTTTAGTACTCCCCTTTATCATCTTGGTACACAATTCCAAGCTGATAATAGGGAGTGTAAGGAATTATTATATGTCAACTCCATGGTGATATCATGATACTATGGGGCTTTGGCTGAAAACTTTCACTCTATCTATTGGAGTTTGAAAAGTTTGCCCTGGCAAGTAGAAAAGCACCCCTGGTGAGTGTGCCATGTACCCTTCACGCTTGTAATGGTAAGGAGAAATCAAGGCCTGCTAGTAGTGTTGATATGTTAAAATGGACACTATAGTCACCAGAACAACTACAGCTTAATGGATCATCAATGGCCAGTCCCTGTAGGCTTCTTTTTTTTTTTGCCTTTTGTCTTTTCATAGAAAAGGGACACTAGTAACTATAACTATTTAATCTCTTGGAATTGGTTATAGTATCTGGAGTCCCCTAGCAATGTCCTTGCTTTCTGTGTTAAACCACTTTAGAGCTGTTTAACACTAAATAGGTATCCCTGGCTACCCGCCGTCCGGCCCCTTCTGGTGGTGTGGCTAAGGCAGAGATCACACACGTCTTGTAGTCATACCCATTCATACGGTCTGTCAGAGTTCTGATAGGCTAAATGCAGTCAGCTGACACTCTATGCCAATCACAGCTGCCCATTGCTGCTTCGGCTAATACTTCCTCATAGCCAGCGCATCACAGAGGGGATGGACTGCTGGGGATTCTCATTTAGCATTAAACAATAAAAACATTATACACTGTTTAATGCTGAATTAAATCAGGGTACCTGGGGACTCCAGACACCAGTTTAATGAGAGGAAGCACATGGTACCTACAGTGTCCTTTTAAAGAATTCCACAGCCAATTTAAAAAAAAGCTACAATCTGAGCATTCAAATAAATTGAGCATTTTATTTATGTCATGTTGATAGCCACAAACTAAAATACACCAAGCCAAAGAGAATAAGAAGCAATTAAAATGCATATACACACACTCTCTCTTTCTAAAAGGTGCATATCTGTGCAAATAGGACGGGCTATACGCACAGAGTATTTTACTACAGGACAGTCATCAGCATCTATGCTTTTCAATTCAGTGACCAGAACTTGTTTATATATTTGTTTATAGGTCCTCGACCATCAGAATCCGATGTTGACCGCTTATTCTCAAGATGATCCCACCAAGTGTATTCTAGATTCTACTAACTCACTGTGGGCAAAGAAAAGAGGAATATCAGAAGCATGATTTCATCAAAGAAATAGTACAGGTTGATCTATAGCCTTAACCTTGTCTAACCTGGTATTCTACAAGAACGTTGACCACAGGTGTCTGGGCAACATATTTTGCCATCATTACATTGTGTGTCATCTTCACAAGGTACACCACATATACCTAGAGCGCCTTCCTTCACCTTAGGACAGTAATCCGTGGTTTCTTAGTAAATGTTGGTGGAGTGCATCCAGAAGGAGGAGAAAAAATAATTTATTTTTAAATTAAAATTATACAACACAAGGGTCTTCAGATAAATCATTGGAAAACAACCTCTAACCTATGCAATATGTACAATATAAAACCCAAACTTTAAAAAAAACAAACATGCTTCCTAGTTTTAAAAACATAATAAATGTCTTATAAAAATATCCACTTCAGGCTATTTCACAAGCAAGTAACAATCAATCCAGAGGCCGATTCGGTATGTAGCTAGATCATGGGCCAGCAGCCGCCCATCAGAATGTAGATATAGAAAAAGAAGATCCAGGCTTAAGGGCACGTTTATTGGAACCAGCAGAATAACACAACAACATTTCGACCCTAAATTGGGTCTTTGTCAAGCTTTGTAGCTCCCCAAGCTACATTATGCTGGTACAACTTAACACAAAACGTGAGATTCCATCTTATTTTTGTTTGATGTCAATTAATAGATTTCCCCTCTCATTTTTTGCATAGTTACACTCCTTATGACAACTACAAGGAATGTTGAGAAACTTACCCACTATCTCTTGAAATTAAGCTTAATTCTCTATTCCCATATAGAGCACATTTTGAGCAGTTTCCCTTTCATATTGAGTTTAGCTTAGATTTTAAAAAATTATTATTTTGTGTTGCGATTGAGTATAATTGTTCTCAGAACATTTTTTAATATACCATTATTCTATCTCTGCGGTTTTAAAATGTCATCAAATTAAATCCACATAACCTTTCTAAACAGCACCACTTTACATCTGTGGTAGAGAATTCTTCCCCCGCCACCCAAAATGTAGCTGTAGTGTATAATTGATGCCTATATAACTCAAAATCATTAGATTCTACTGCACATAGTTTCATTTTGTAACTCTGATGAGTGAACGTACCTTTTGTACTCAGATGATCTTCTACTGAAGAGGATATACTTTCTTCCTTTAAAATATCTACAGATGTATCATCCCAAGTAATGGAAACTGATTCAGCTATAGGGCAGAATATGCAACATTAGTGTTCAGCAACTAAACATGTAGACAGACTTTATAAAAGGGATTGGACCATATACATCAGCATGCAATGTCATCTTAAAGGAACAGTATAGCAGAGTTTTACTGCTATTTCATCGTTATTGCCTTGAGTGGCTCTCTTAGGGACACTAGAGGCATTTAAACCCTACAATGAAAACATTGCTACTGCACAATGGCATTGTTGTCACTTGCAGTGATAAAATGGAGTGGCCACAAAGATCACATCATTGAGAGGAAGTGTTCTGGGTGCCTATAGTGTCCCTTTAAAATAAACAATTTTTACACGAACACTTAAGTGTTAGGAATATATCCCTAACACTGAAGCGTCCCCCTGCCCACACAGCTCCCCCCCAGCCTTCCCCCATGGATAAATTCTCCACTGATATCAGCTGGTGAAGGGACCTATGCCTTCCCCATAGGAAAACATTGAATCAATGCTTTCCTAGGTGGTTTCGCTTGACGTGGAATGTCCTCATGCGAAGAGTGAGGATGTCCAGTATCGTTTCACAAAGTCTTACTTGTGAAATTGCAGGAAGCTCCTCTCGTAGCTGTCTGGAGATAGATACTAGAGGCAGTCTTAGCGCTGCAAAGTAATTCTCGATTTAGTCCTTTTAGATAAACTTTTCAAATTATCACAATCTGTTATCAAATGATTTATCTACATGTCCCCTTTAAGTCTATGGGAATTTTTGTAGATAAATCATTTGAAAAGTATTTCAGATTGTGATCATTTAAAAAGTTTATCTAAACGATTTAAATTAAGGTCATGGTTTTTAATATTTCAAAATAAATATACTTATATGCATACTATTAGAAGGCTTATTATCTATTGCATATATACACTGATCAGCCATAACCACTGACATGTGAAGTGAATAACATTGATTAAATTTTTACAATGGCACCTATCCATGGGCAGCAATTGAACAGTCAGTTCTTGAATTTCATGTGCTGGAAGCAGAAAAAATGAGCAAGCAAAAAGATCTGTGTGACTATAACAATGGTCAAATAGTGATGGCTAGATGACTGAGTCAAAGCACCTCCAAAAATGCAAGTCTTGTGGGGTGTTTACAGTATGCAGTGGTTAGTACCTACCAAAGTGGTGCAGGGAAGGACAACTGGTGATCTGGCAACAGGGTCATGGGTGCCCAAGACTCGATGCATGTGGTGAGTCAAGGCTAGCTGTCTGCTCTGATCACACAAAAAAGCTATACCAGTTCAACTTGCTAAAACGTAAAGTTGGCAATGATAGAAAGGTGTGAACACACAGTGCATCGCAGTTTGCCTTCAATGGGCATGTGAGCATCACAACTGGACCATGGAGCAATGGAAGAAGGTTGCCTGGTCTGACGAATTACGGTTTCTGTTATATGAGATGGATTGTTGGGTGTGTGTATGTAGTTTGCCTGGGGAAAAGATAGGAGCAGGATGCACTATAAAAAAAAAAGGCAGGCGGAGGCAGTGTTATATTCTGAGCAATGTTCTGCTTGGAAACCTTAGGTCCTGGCATTCCGGTGGATGTTACCTTGACACGTACCACCTACCTAGGTAAATGCAGACCATATACATCCCTTCTTGGCAATGGCGTTCTCAGTGGCCTCTTTCAGCAGGGTAATTCATCCTGCCACACTGCAAAAATTGTTCATGAATGGTTTGAGGAGCATGACTAAGAGTTCAAGGTGCCTTTGCCTCCAAAGTCTCCAGATCTCAATCCGATTGAGCATAACAATATAATATATGTTTGGCTTTCTACCAGAAGTGCAAATTCTCTTAACATGAATATTGTAATTTTGGAACTGTGAATTATACTTACTGGTTGTTGCAAGTGTATCTTGTGAAAAGTAAGTAGTATTTTCTTCTTTTGAATCATTTACAGATATATTTTCCTTATTCAATGGAACTGGATCAGCTGTAGTGTTAGAGGATACACCGTAAATTGATTTTTTTTTTCTCTAAATTAAGGACCTTAACATTTATACAAGTTCACTTCAATATCAAAACAGTGACCTATCTCCCAGTGCTATACTTATTGGTTGCTGCAAGTCTATCTTGTGAAGAGTAAGAGAAAGTTCTGCTTTTTAAAGGGGCACTATAGTCACCATAACAACTACAGCTTACTGGATTTGCTCTTGTGAGTATAATATATATATATATTTTGCAGTAAATACTGTCTCCACTGGCCACTCCTCAGATGAGGGACCAGGGCTTAGATGGTGTTTTTAACACTATAGGGTCAGGAATACATGTTTGTGTTCCTGAACATATAGTGTTCCTTTAAACATACATGGATGTATTTTCTTCACTCAATGGAATCATTTTACCTGTAGTGTTAGAGAATACTTTTGACTGAGTACCATATATATAGCTTGCCTTCTATTTCCTTATGAAATTTATTATGACCTTAAAGGAACACTCTAATGTTATAAATACTATGTGTTTAGTATGTTTTTTTGTTTTTTTTTTATAAATCTTTATTTTTTCAGTACAATAAAGAATACAAGTGCTTGGTATGGCCACAACAGCCGTGTCAAAATATTTAACATTCAAATATGTTATATGTCCATACATGTTATAAGGTCAGGTTGCACCCTTTTATATATGGGTAAGGTCAGATTTTAACGAGTTGTAGTAGATTGTCATTAAGGGTTTATAACCCTCCGAGGTCATCTGCAGCGCTGTCGGGGTCAGGTTTTGTCAAAGCTAGGTGGACATGGGTGCGTTCTGGGTCACCCTTGGTGGTTACACCTGGCGTCCCCGTAATAGCCGTTTGGGGTTGGACCTACGCGGTTTTGAGAGCAGTTGGCTTTCTGTGTCTAGGAGTGAGTCGCTGAGGTTTGTGCTGCTTTATGTCCTGTTAGTAGGTGCAAGGTGTGCGTGGGCTGGGTGATATGCTATTGTCTGTGACATTTGTTATGTGTGAGGCACATCTAGTCTATATAGTCTGGAGGAAGTGGGGCCTGTGTGAGCGGTTGTGGTCTGACTATGTGATCTGCAGGTTGCAGAGGCGTGTGTGGACAGACCAGTAGTGGGCTCATGTAGGGAGGCTCCATGGAGTGTAGTGCCCCTGTACCTTGGGGCCAAGGGGGAGGGGGGTGCAATATCATGCACCGGAGAACAGAGACCCAATCTCTGGGTTTAACAATAATTTCCTAATGGCCTGGTGGGTGAGGTAAGGAAATTATCTCGCATGAAATATGCCCAGCTGTCGGTATGTAAAGGCTAATTAAAAGTAAATCAGTAACATAACATAGCATAAAGTGTCCCAAAGTTAAAACTGAACTTTGTGGCAGTAGTCTTGTGGTCAGGTCGCGTTACCTCGTTTCCCTCTGGGTGTGGGGACGTCTTTGTCCTCCATGGATGTTGTTTGAGGGCACGTGGCGGCAGCTTCAGGTTGGTCAGCTAGGCCCAATGTGGCTAGCAGGGCCGGGCCCTCCTTGGGATCTGAGGCCTTATAATTTTGTCCTTCCTAAGAGACCCAGAGGGTTTTTGGCGTTGCCCATCTATAGGTGATCCCTGCGTCTCGCAGCTGTGTGGTGAGTGGCTGCATTGATTTGCGCCATAAGAGTGTGTCTCTGCTTAGATCCTTAAAAAGGGATATTTAGCTTGTTTCAAAGTCATATGGGGTTTTTCCCCGAAAAGCAGCCATGAGTCCTAGCTTGTCTGTCATCGAGCAGCAGCGGAGGATGAAATCGCATGGTGCCAAAGTGGGTGCCTGTGGTGACTTGGCAATCCTGTATGCCCCGTCGAATAGGAATTGCTTGGCTTGTTTCGCCAGTCTCAGGGATCCCCCTACTTTTTATGTTTTTCCTCCTGCCCCTGACGTCCATTATGTTAAGCTGTCTGGCCATTGTGGCCTGTGTGGTTTGGATTTGTTGGACTTGGGCACTCAGGGTACGGTAGTCTTGTGTCAGGCCTGCGAGGCCTGTCTCATTAGCTTGGGTGCGCGCTGCCACTGCTTGTACTGTGGTGGTTAAAGCTGCTAAGTCTGCCCTCCACATCTGTTCCAGGTTACTCTGCAGGCCTGCTAGCATGCTTTGTATGTCTCTTTTAGAGGCCGCGCCGTGATCCCCTGCCGTGCCTGTTGGTGTAGGGTGTGGGCTTGAGGGTGAGTTGTCTAAATGAGTCTCATCGTCCAAGGACGCTGGGTAGGCCGGCCGTGGTGGTAGGGCCTGTTGTGAGGGGGGAGTTGACAGCATATGGCTAATGTCCCATTGCTGTTTCGGGGTTTGTATAGGCATTTTCTGTGTCCCCATCTTACCTTCCTCTCGGAGGCCCAGGTATTCCTCTGGATCGTCCGGTAAAGTCTCTAGGCAGGCCGCCCACACGGTAGGCCTTAGCGCCTCGGGTTTGGGTTTTTGCACCCAGTGTGGCAAAAAAGGGCATCTGCGGGTTCGGCAGTTGATGCTGCAGCTGTTCCCTTTGTTTCCAGCCCGTGTCTGTGCAGGATGCTCTTGGATTTTGACAGATTAGGTTTCTCTATGTCGGAGCTCAGATCAATGGCTTCCGCTCCGGTGTGGTGACAAGCCCCGCCCCTCGTGTTTAGTATGTTAACATGTTCCTGGCAACTTTAAATTATTGGGCTACCCTTCAAGAAGTAAAATATCAACTGGAACTTACTTCTCACCCAGAGGTGTCCCAGTCTCGCAGTGGCCACCACTATACCTAACTCTAAGATAATCGCTTGGATGATCTCAGGCTAATCCAATGCTTCACTACAGAGAAGCATTAAGAGCCCTACTACCAGGGGTGGAAATTGCAGCGCTGCGCTAACAGTATTGTAACACTTCTCCATGGAAAGAATTAGTTCAGCGACATCATAATGTCGAACATGAAGACTAAATTGAATTTCCTAGAAATGGTAATGCTTATATTTTCATTAAGATGTAGTTGTTTTGGTGCAGAGAGTGTACCTTTAAGATTAATATAAATCCACTTCAGTAGTACTTCTTGTGCCAGGAGCTGCATCAATTCTCTTGCGCATGTGCAAAGAGTTGCGGGAGCCTCCATAAATTAAATCTCTTAATGACCACTTGTGATGGCTGCTTGGACAATAGTTGATGTTGGAGCTTTGCTATTGTGTTCCTTTAGTGTTTCTATAAAGGTTTGTACTAAATATTTAGATTATTTGGCATCTTCAGAACTATTCAAAAATAACTTTCTACTTACCTTTACTTTACTGGCATGCTAGTCTCTGTGCAGCCATTCCGCTTCCTTGGCTGAGATCATACTGATGTTCTCAGCCAGCCCAATGACTCTTATAGGGTAGTATTTGGAGGCTAGTGCGCATGTAAGACAAATCACATCTCTATGTGGAGCATTTGGTGTCTCATGCAGAGCTCTGCCGAAGATGGAAGTCAATCCCGCTAGCCATTCATTGGCTGAGAGTGTCAGCTGACTGCTGTCAGCTAATAAATGCAATAATATTTCCAGGCTCACTAATGGCACCATTTTGACATTGCTATAGTTATACTTTCAGCAGCAAAGGGCTTAATTTCAATATGTGCAGTGTTACACATACAGACTACAGGCACCATGACCACTTCAAATCAACGAAGTGCTCATGGTGCTTGGAGTAAACCATTAACTGAACCAAGCAGGCAGGTTTAGGCAAAAAAAAAATATGAGTTATGCTATTAGAACTGTAAAGAGTAGGTCATAGAGAGGCATCACTATTTTTGCAATGCAATGAGACACTCCAACTCGCTTAGCCAATGAGCTAAGCATGCATCGCATGGCTTCGCTCAGGAGAGCTAATGGACATTCTTATTCAAGCTCTCTGATGATAGTAGTGGAGGCGGAACGCGATGCTCAGCAGACTCCAGGTAACTAGTCAAACTATTTGAAAAAGGTGGTAGCAAAAGCACTCCTGGCTCCATACTACTAGAGCGATATTTAGTGGTTATGGTGGCTGGAGTGTTACTTCAACCCCTTAAGGACACATGACATATGTGAAATGTCATGATTCCCTTTTATTCCAGAAGTTTGGTCTTTAAGGGGTTAAACTGAGATCTGTGATTGTAGATATGATCAATTTCAGTCTGGCTATAATGAAAACTAAGTCTTACCTATTGTCCTACAGGAATATTGATGGCAGACATCCGGGCAGCACTTCTTTTCACCTTCACATTGTGTGTCATTTTCACAGGGAGTGCCACATATTCCTAGGGCTCTCTCCTTCACCTCAGGGCAAGAAGTCATGTTCACTGCATGAAAATATTGACATTAGATGATTGTATTAATCACATATCCCTAGGGCTCTCTCCTTCACCTCAGGGCAAGAAGTCATGTTCACTGCATGAAAATATTGACATTAGATGATTGCACACCAGCTTTCAGGCTTGTAAAATCTACTGATCACCCGACAGACCATCTCTGTGTCAGGAGGACAGTTATAGTTGAGAAAAGTGCGTGTTTAAATATACTTCCTCTGTGCTTTTGGTTAGCAACAGGGCAATAAAAGGGACACCATAACTGCTTCATCTCATTTAAGTGGATATAGTATCTGGAGTCCACTGGTGCCATCCTTCCATACACCATAAAACCATGTTTGATATTTTTAACCCATTTCCTCTATACTGCTTGGGCTAATGAGGAAGCATTAGCCTGAGCAGCAGCTGGTAACTGTGAATGTCTGAGAGTTTCAGATGACTTATTTAAGCTTATCACAATAGCATTGCTGGTATTATTATTTTATTATTTATATAGCGCCATCAGATTCCGTAGCGCTGTACAAAGGATGAATCATTATGGCTACAAGGAAGTGTGTAATCTGTGCCTTAGCCACACCTCCAGTGTGGGTGGGGCTATTAGAAGACAGGGACCCTCATTCATAAATTGCTTGAAAATGGTTTAACCCTGAAGGGAGGGACAGTGTGATGAAATGGTTATAGTGCCTACAATGTCCCTTTAAGCCCATATACACAAGTTCTTCAGCAGCATGCAATCTTGGTGCAATCTCATAATGTGCATTTTTTTCAGTAGCCCTTTGGTAAATTCTTGTACCCCTCGGGATTTGACACAAATGTTCTTTTGATGTTTTTGTTATGTTTGTTTCCCTTTCCAAGATATCCTACATGGCTTTAGCTATGCACTGAGCAGGTTTTTATTTAACACTACTGGTATTCTAACGGCTGATGTCTATTCCAAGTAAGTGTTGTTCATGTTGAGTGTTGAGCATTGTTGTTGATTTAATTCCGTGCTTATTCTGAAAATAAAGATTTTGACAAGATCCCTTACACCATAGGCTGAAATGTTTCCTCTGAACACAAAAGATGCACCTCCTCTATTGTTTGCTTGAAAAGCTGGGGGGGTAGGAGGGTTATTTTGTTTAACCAGGGGTCAAGTCCTGGGTAATAAAGGGTAATATACATGTATATTAGTCATGCAGTATTGTATGCATATATAAACGCGTGCACACACACACTGACAGGTGCACACACACACTCAGACACACACATACACAGACACACTCACAGACACACACATACTCAGACACACACACACTCCCAGACACACACACATACTCAGACACACACACATATACGCACACACACATACATACACACACACACTCAGATACATACACTCACAGACACACACACACATACTCAGACACACAGTCACTCACAGACACACTCACACACATACAATCACAGACACACACACATACACTCACACAGACACACACTCACTCACAGAAACACACAAATTATTATTATTTTTTAAAATGTAAAAATGTCCACCCAGCCTCCCTACCTGGAGAGCTGGCGTGGACCTGTCCCTGGGGTCCAGTGAGGCGGGCGCCTGTCTCCTGGTCATACGCGGCGAGGGAGCTGTGTCCTCTCTGCTCTGCTCCATCTCGCCGTGTGGGCTGTCTACTGATGCCGGGAGCCAGAATATAACGTCATATTCCGGCTCCCGGCATCAGCAAATGGTGCGTGAGGGAGCAGAGCTGGGAGAACACAGCTCCCTCGCGGCGTCTGGCCAGGAGACAGGCGCCCGCCGGGTAGTCTCTTGGGCCCCCTATGACAGGGGGAACACAGCATTTGGAGGCGGCATTTTTTGCCGTCCCCTGAGTGCCAGCAGGAGCAACGGGAATGGCATTCCTGCTGTAAAAAAAGTGCAGGAACGCCGTTCCCACGCGTTCCTGCAGGACTCGAGCCCTGTGTGTAACCAGTATGAAAGTGGTGTCAGTTTCTATTGCACTTTATCCAAAATGAAAAAAAGAAACCACTCTTCCCACATAAAGTTTTTCAACAAGCTACAGTGCTTTATTATTATTATTATTATTATTATTGCCATTTATTTAGCGCCAACAGATTCCGTAGCTCTTTACAATATAATGAGAGGGGGGATTTAACTATAAATAGGACAATTACAAGAAAACTTACAGGAACGATAGCTTGAAGAGGACCCTGCTCAAACGAGCTCACAGTCTATAGGAGGTGGGGTATAAAACACATTAGAACAGGAAATAGCAATCAAATAAGGTGGGATTGAAGCAGAGCTGGAGGAGAGAGTAAAGTGCTTCCCTTTAGGAGAGAGCAAGAAACAGGTATGAGGTAGAGGTTACTCTGGGAGGCCATAAGCTTTCCTAAAGAGATGGGTTTTAAGGCACTTCTTAAACGATTGAAGACTAGGGGAGAGTCTGATGGCGGTAGGCAGGCTATTTCATAGGATGGGAGCCGTCCGCGAGAAGTCCTGCAAGCGTGAGTTGGCTGTATGGAAGTGAGCAGCGGACAGGAGAAGGTCACAGGCAGAGCGGAGAGACAGAGAAGGGGCATACCTATGGATCTGTGAAGAGATATAAGAGAGACTAGGTGAGGTCAGAATTAAGAATGACGCCAAGACAGCACACTTGCAAGGATGGACTTATGTGGATACCACTAACTTGAAGGGAGAGCGAAAGAGGAGGATCAGTATTAGGAGGAGGAAAGACAAGGAGCTCAGTTTTAGAGGGATTGAGTTTCAGAAAGTGGTAGGACATTCAGTCAGAGATGGAAGAGTAGTGACACGTTGCAGGATGGCAGGGGAGAGGTCTGGGGAGGAGAGATATATCTGGGTGTCATCAGTGTCGTACAGGTGGTAGTGGAATCCAAATGAGTTTATAAGTTTGCCAAAAGAGGCAGTATAAAGAAAAAACAGAACCTTGGGGGATTCCAACCGAGACAGGACGAGGGGAGAAGGTATTTGAAAAGGAGACACTGAATGAGCGTTGGGAGAGACAAGAGGAAAACCATGCAAGGACAGAGACCGAGTGATTGAAGATTTTGAAGAGGGAGAGCATGATAAACGGTGTCAAAGTGTCAGGATTACTAGTTGATCCAGCACGTAGAACTGTGTCACACCTAGGACTAATAGGTAATGTCTTACTGGGCCCTAGAATGGCTGGACTTAACGTATCAGAGAATAGTCAGAATACTTGCCGAGGTAAGGGACACAGAAAGGGACACAACGATGAAGGAAAACCAAAAGGATAGCAGAATACAGTGAAATCAAACGAAGCCAAAGTCAATAACCATGGCAATCATTATTGATGTCACAAGGTGAGGATGAATATGTTACATTACCCCCCACCTGAAGATCGCTCACCAGGCAGGCAGGACCAAGCTTGAGAGGCAATTTGTCGTGAAAAGAGTGTACCTTGCGGCTAGCATGAATATCAGAAGCAGGAACCCAAGAACGCTCGGCAGACCCATATCCCCTCTAATCTACCAAATAGTGCGATGAACCACGAGAAAATCTGGAATCGATTATGGAAGAGATCTCATACACCTCCTGTCCAGAAACAACCATATTATATAGTATATCTATTGCAAATAAGTGGTTTGAGCAAGGACACATGAAAGGTGTTGGGAATACGTAAGGAGGCAGGAAGTGCCAGAGAATAGGAGATAGGATTAATCTTCCTAATGATATGGAAGGGACCAAGGAATCTGGGAGCAAGCTTCATACTAGGAACTTTTAATTTAATGTTATGTGATGGTAACCACACTCTCTCACCCACTTGGTAAACAGGATTGGCACCACGCCGTTTATCAGCATAAAATTTAAACCGATCAGCCGCAGTTTTGAGAGCGGAGTGAACCTTGGTCCAAGTATCACAAATAGAATTAAGGTGATCATCCAAAGCAGGCATAGCCGTGTCGGAAAAGACAGCCGGAAGAACAGTAGGATGATGACCATTATTCACAAAAAAGGACTATGTCCAGAAGTGTCATGATTAGCATTGTTCCTAGCAAAGTGCTATTAACAAAACAACGCAAATACACTTCTACTGATTGATTAGCCCTCTCAGCCGTGCCATTGGTTTGGGGATGGTAAGATGAAGAAAATTACAATTCAATACCCAACTGTTTATTGAAAGCCCTCCAAAACCGAGACACAAACTGAGAACCTCTGTCAGAAACAATATTGTGAGGAGTGCCATGCAGTCGAAGAATTTCTCGTACAAAAATAAGAACCAGGTCTTGAGAGGAAGGCAGTTTCCTGAGTGAAACAAAATGAGCCATTTTAGAAAAACAGTCAACCACCATAAGAATGGAAGTAAAGCCACTGGAATTAGGAAGTTACACGATGAAATCCATGGACAAATGGGGCCATGGAACACTAGGTACAGGAAGTGGCTGCAACAACCCACAAGGAAGCTTATGAGGGACCTTGGAAACCTCACAAACTGAATAGGCCTGCACATATTCCTTAACATCACTCCTGAGAGAATCCCACCAAAATGATCTCATGATTGCGGATATGGATTTATTGATGCCCAGGTGTCCAGCAGCATTCTCTCTTTCACCCAATGGAACAAATAATTTATCTGGTGGTTTATTGCATGGTGCCTGAGACTGAACCTCCATTATAGCACCAAGCAAAGGAGAAGACAGTGAAAGAACAGTGGAAGCGATGATACACTCAGGTGGTACAATAGGGGATGTCTCGTGTTCCTGTATAGATTTATCAAACTGTCTAGATAATGCATCTGCCTTCACATTCTTGGGACCAGGTCTGTAAGTTATAAGAAAGTTAAAGCGAGATAGAAATAAAGACCATCTAGCCTGTCTAGCATCCCCTATATAAGCCAAATTCTTATGGTCAGTGATCAAAAGGGGATTCTTGGAACCTTACAAAAGATGTCACCACTCTTTAAGTGCTAGGATAATGGCCAACAATTCTCTGTTGCCAATATCATAATTGTGTTCAGTGGCAGACAGCTTTCTAGAAAAGAACCCACATGGAAGCAAAGGTATATCCTGACTCTCCTTTTGAGAAAGAACAGCCCTCACCCCAGTTTCGGAGGCATAAACCTCCGGTATGAAGGGTTTACTGGTGTCAGGATGTATTAATATGTCGGCAGAAGCAAACCTTTAAGAAGTTCAAAGGCTTCTCTAGCTTCCACAGACCACATCGTACAACTAACCCCCTTACGTGTTATATTGGTGATGGGGGCTATTACAGAAGAGAACCCTTTGATAAATCTCCTGTAATAGTTCACAAACCCAATAAACCTTTGGATGGCCTTCAGTCCGCTAGGCAATGACCAATGTATAACAGCCTCTAGTTTCTTAGGGTCCATTTGAAAACCAGAGGCAGAAATGTTATACTTCAAAAACTGTACTTCAGTCTGATCAAACAAGCATTTTTCCAGTTTGCAATAACGTTTATTTTCCAATAAAGTCAGCAAGACCTGTTTGACGTTTTTGTGGTGGGTCTGAAGGTCAAGGGAATAAATAAGGATATCATCCAGGTAAACCAGGACAAATAAGTAGATATAATCTCTAAGTACATCATTAAGTACATCATTAAAGTCCTGGAATACGGCCGGGGCATTGCATAGCCCGAAGGGCATAACAAGGTACTCATAGTGCCCACATCTAGTATTAAATGCCGTCTTCCTCTCAGTATTTTCCTTAATCCTTGCCAAATTGTATGCACTCCTGAGGTCAAGTTTAGTAAAGATCTTAGTGCCCTGAAGTCTGTCAAACAATTCGGAAATGAGGGGAATGGGATAGGCATTCTTAATGGTAATCTTGTTTAATGCTCTGTAGTCGATGCATGGACATAACTCTCCATCTTTATTTTCTACAAAAAACACGCCGGGCTCTAGGGGGAGGAAGTGGTTAAACACATACCTTTTCTCCAGCGCCGGGCTCCCTCGGTGGTGGGGACTCTCCGCCTCCTTTCCCAAGCATCGGTGGAATGCGCATGCGCGGCACGAGCCATGCGCGCATTCAGCCAGTCCATAGGAAAGCATTCTCAATGCTTTCCTATGGACGCTGGCGTCTTCTCACTGTGAAAATCACAGTGGGAAGCGCCTCTAGCGGCTGTCAATGAGACAGCCACTAGAGGCTGGATTAACCCATAGGTAAACATAGCAGTTTCTCTGAAACTGCTATGTTTACAGCAGAAAGGGTTAATCCTAGACAGTGGCGTCGCTAGGGGGGGGCCAGAGGGGGCCATGGCCCCCCCTACATCATGCTGTGCCCCCCCTTGGGCCCCCCCAAATGCCGGCACCTTGCTGGCCATGGGCTTCCCTCGGACTGCAACAGTCTGTCACAGCCCGGGGGAATGCAGGAGAGAGGGGCTGGGGGCTGTCTGTGGCCGGAGGGAGCACTGATTGGCTCCCCGGCACAGGCCACGCCCCCAAACGGAGCCCCGCCTCCCGCCGATAAGCCCCGCCCCCGCCGTAATGTAGCAGCCCATGCTGCTGCTAAAGATGGCTGCCTGACCCCCAGCAACAGACTCCAGTGACAGGTAGGCTTGGGGGGGGGGTGTACACACTCTATACACACAGTGCCCCCCATAGACACACACTGCCCCCCCATACCCACACATTGCCCCAATAGACACACATTGCCCCCCATACCCACACATTGCCCCCCCATACCCACACATTGCCCCCCCATACCCACACATTGCCCCCATACACACATTGCCCCCATACCCACACATTGCCCCCATACACACACATTGCCCCCCATAGACACACATTGCCCCCCCATACCCACACATTGCCCCAATAGACACACATTGCCCCCCATAGACACACATTGCCCCCCATAGACACACACTGCCCCCCATTCACACACACTGCCCCCTATACACACACATTGCCCCCTATACACACACACTGCCTCCCATACTGCCCCATACACACACACACTGCCCCATACAGCCCCATACACACACATTGCCCCCCATACACACTGCCCCCCATACTGCCCCACATACACACACTGCCCCCCATTCAGCCTCCCATACACACACACACTGCCCCCCATACAGCCTCCCATACACACACACAGTCCCCCATACTGCCCCCCCATACACACACACACTGCCCCCCATACAGCCTCCCATACACACACACTGTCCCCCATACTGCCCCCCATACATACACACTGCCCCTGTGAGGAACTGACTCTGCTGGGTTTCGAACCCTGGTTTACATGGTGCTAAACCTTTTCCTTACCAGTACACCAGCCTGCCTTTTGCACATTTACCTGAGATCTGATACTATTGTTTGTAGAGTCAAGGTTATCAGTGACAACTCACTTCAGCTGTGTCTGGTCAGGTGTCTGGTCCTTGGCCTATAAAAGCCACTTCCTGTCTCTGTACCTTTGCCAGATTATTGTGGTTCCTGTACTCTCTAATCCAGCGTGTTCCTGTTTCTCCTTCCTGTTGCTGAATTTGGACTGTTTTGACTTTGCTGCTTCTCCTTCCCACTGACCTCGGCTTGCCTCACTACGATTATCATCTTTCTGTTCCAGTCTCCCATCTCTGCTTAAGACCAGAAGGCCACTCAAGGCTCAGGGGCTCAACCACCTGGGTAACGAGTGGCTACCTCTGGCAGAAAATATTGCTGATCTGGCTACTGGACTCCAAAACTTTGTAACATCAATATCATTACAGAATAATCTGGCCTTTTCATGGAGACCGTCGGATCAGATTCTGCATTGGCCCAGCAGGTTGCTTTTAATGCAAGAACTATGCAGACCCAGGCACAGACTATTCAAGTGCTGCAGGATCAGGTAGCTGAACTGCAAAATGAAGTTCGATCAATGCATAGTGAGCTTACCAGCTACAGGGCACATGATGTTGCGGCTGCTGCTACTACTACTGTTACACCTGCACAAGATGCCCGCTTGCCTCTACCAGAAAAATTTGGAGGAGACCGCAAAAAATTCAGGGGTTTCCTAAATCAATGCCGTTTGCATTTCATGATGTTACCTAACCGTTTTCCATCTGAAAGAGAGAAGGTGGGATTTATTTTTTCCCTCTTCAAAGATGAAGCCCTGGCCTGGGGCTCCCCTTTTCTGGAACAGGACAGTCCAATCTTGGGAAATTTAAAAGACTTTCTTGAGGCCATGTGCCTAGTTTTTGATGATCCCAATCGCTGTGCTACAGCAGAAGCCACTCTCCTTCATTTACATCAAGGGAGGCGCTCTGTGGCTGAATATGCTGCTGAATTCAGACAGTGGGTTACTGATACTACTTGGAACCAATCAGCCTAGAGGTTCCACTTCAGAAGGGGTCTCTCAGAAGCTATAAAAGATGAGCTAGCTCGTGTTGATCTTCCTGTTGAGTTTGATGCATTTGTGCGGTTGGCTATCCGTATTGATCGGAGACTTTCAGAAAGAAGATTGGAAAGACAGGGCTCTTTTAAACCAAGTGCTACTCCTACTTTCTATTCAAGAATTTCTACTCCGACCCCACAAACACCTACAGACTCTGAACCTGAGGCTATGCAGGTAGATCTAATAAGAGGGCCATTATCCAATGAAGAAAAACAGTGGCGACGCACTCACAATTTATGCCTGTATTGTGGTAGTACAGGGCATTATGCCATCAATTGCCCTAACAAGTCTAAAAGAACAATAGCTATGACTGCTGAGGGTGCACAGATTCAACACCAATCCCAGATTTCAGACCAACTGGATTCTGTCATACAACCCTTGTTTTCTCTGGCTCAGGGTGAAGAAGGTATGATGACTCAACATCCTCATTTGGTGGTGCCTATCACTTTGCAATATGGTAATAATAAAATTTCAACTACGGCTATGATAGATTCCGGAGCAGGCGGAAACTTTATGGACATTAAATTTGCAGCAGAAAATAAAATTCAGTCTATCCCTAAATCTTCACCTGTGTTAATGGAAACAGTAGACGGTTCTCCACTTACGTCAGGCCCGGTTACACATGAGACTGTGCCCTTAAAATTGATTCTGGAAGTGAATCACCATGAGTCTATATCTTTCCACCTAATTTCCTCAACACAGTTTCCAGTGATTTTGGGTATACCCTGGCTTGCTCTGCATAACCCACAGATTGATTGGAAGACTAGAACTTTGTCCTTTCCTTCAGAACACTGCTTAATGAATTGTCAACCCTCTAAGGCGACACCTGTTACCACAACAATTAATGAAATGGTTGCTACAAACTTAACTAAGCTTCCGCTACAATATCGGGATTTTGCAGATGTCTGTGATAAGAAGAATGCTGATCAGCTTCCACCTCATAGGCCTTATGATTGCCCCATAGAGCTGCTACCTGGAGCTGCTATCCCATTTGGCCGTATATACTCCCTTTCTGAGCCTGAATTGAAAGCACTTCGTGAATACATACAAGAAAATCTTGCCAAAGGCTTTATTCGACCATCCACTTCTCCAGCAGGAGCTCCTATATTCTTTGTAGAAAAGAAAGATGGCAGTCTACGGCCATGTGTTGATTACAGGGACATTAATAAAATCACTGTTAAAAACCGTTATCCCTTGCCTCTCATTCCTGAACTTCTGGAGAGACTTCGTTCAGCTAAAATATTTACGAAGCTTGATCTACGGGGGGCATATAATCTGGTTCGCATAAGACCAAATGATGAATGGAAAACAGCTTTCAGAACCAGGTACGGACATTACGAATATCTAGTAATGCCATTTGGGCTTTGTAATGCCCCTGCAACTTTTCAGCATCTAATCAATGATGTACTACGGGATCTCCTGGATCAGTTTGTTGTGGCATATTTGGATGATATCCTGATATTTTCTGATAATCTTGAAAATCACAGAAAACAGGTCTGCATTGTTCTTGAGCGCCTTCGTACCCACCACCCATACATTAAACTGGAAAAATGTGAGTTTGAACAAACAGAAATTCAGTTCCTGGGGTATGTAATAACTCCTAAAGGTTTAAGTATGGACGCAAGTAAAATTAAAGCTGTGCTGGACTGGCCCATCCTCAAGAATGAAAAAGATATACAGAGATTTGTGGGGTTTGCCAATTTTTACAGGCGTTTCATTAAGAATTTCTCTGCCGTTATTACACCGATCACTGAACTTACACGTAAAGGGACTCCTTTTCAGTGGTCCAATAAGGCTGACACTGCATTTTCCAGATAAAAGACTCTGTTTACATCTGCCCCTATCTTGGTACATCCTCAGCCAGAATTGCCATTTACTGTAGAGGTAGATGCTTCTGATTCAGCTGTTGGGGCTATACTATCTCAAAGGACTGGACCTAAGATGTTGTTACATCCATGTGCCTTCTATTCCCGCCAGATGTTACCAGCAGAAAGAAATTATGACATAGGGAATAAAGAACTTTTGGCTATAAAAGCTGCCTTCACCCAATGGAGACATCTCTTGGAGGGAGCCACCCATCCAATTACTGTCCTCACAGATCACAAAAATCTGGAATGTATCCAATCCGCTAAGAGACTGTCAGCCAGACAAGCACGCTGGTCCCTATTTTTCTCAAGGTTTAATTTTTTTTTATTTCATACCGCCCTGGTTCCAGAAATGGCAAGGCGGATGCCTTGTCTAGGATAGCTGACCCCCTCCATACTACAGTAACCAAGGCCACCATCTTGCCGGAGAGCAGATTTTTAGGAGTTACCTTTCCTTCTGATCTAATGTCTTGCATTAAAAAGGGCTACTCTAAAGATCCAGTTTTTCGTGATCCTCCTCGTGATCTTCAAATGACCATGCTTAATGGGTTTTGGATTTTTCAACAACGTCTGTTTGTTCCAGAATCAGTGCGACTGGACGTTTTACGCCTCTACCATGACTCTAAACCAGCAGGTCATCCAGGAATCCGAAAGACACAAGAACTACTTACCCGATCCTTTTGGTGGCCTAAATATTATGAGGATGTTAAGAAGTATGTGTCCTCTTGTGATGTATGTGCTAGACATAAGACTCCTCGCTCATCCCCTGTTGGCTTGCTTCAGCCTCTTCCGATTCCTCATCATCCCTGGGGATCTATATCCATGGACTTTATTGTGGAACTACCTCCCTCTAAGGAACACACTACTATTCTTGTTGTTGTGGACCGGTTAACCAAGATGAGTCATTTCATACCAGCTCGTGGTCTCTCTTCAGCTAAACAGACTGCTGACCTTATTATTCGGGAAATATTTCGCTTGCATGGAGTGCCTGATGAAGTAATTTCTGACAGGGGAGTGCAGTTTACATCTCATTTTTGGAAATATTTTTGTTCTATTCTAGGTATTAATGTAAATCTGTCTTCAGCTTTTCATCCACAAAGTAATGGACAGACTGAGCGAACCAACCAGACTTAGAACAATATTTGCGGTGCTATATAAGTTACCTGCAGGATGACTGGCTGGATTTTCTACCCACGGCGGAGTTTGCCTATAACAATGCCCAACACTGCTCCACTTCTCTGAGCCCATTTTTTGCCAATTATGGTTACCATCCAACCTTTCTAGTGAGTCTCCCAACTACTACTCCCATTCCTGCAGTCACTGACCGGCTAACCGCCTTACGAGATTCCCAAGAACTGTTGAAGGAGACTCTTTCGGAGGCTCAGGAATGTTACAAAAGAGCTGTTGATAGGCACAGAAAGGAGGCCCCAGTTTATCACGTTGGTGACAAGGTTTGGCTGTCAACAAAGAATCTTAAGCTTAGGATTCCTTCTCATAAATTGGGTCAAAAGTTCATGGGACCTTTTAAGATAATCGCTCAGATCAATGCAGTCACCTTCCGTCTGCAACTTCCGGATTCCATGAAAATACATCCGGTGTTTCACGTGGCACTGCTTAAACCTTTTCATAAAAATACTTTCCCTGGTCGAGCCTTGCCTGCCCCACCACCAGTCCTCGTGGATGGTGAAGATGAATACGAGGTGGAAAAAATTCTTGACTCCAGGATCTTCCGCAACAAGCTTCAATACTTGGTTCATTGGAAAGGCTATGGTAAGGAGGATAGATCGTGGGAACCAGTGGACAATATTCATGCTCCTGATCTTCTTCAGTCTTTCCATGCACAGTACCCTGCTAAACCAGGAAATAGGGCATCCAGAGGCTGCGCCTGTAGAGGTGGAGGTAATGTGAGGAACTGACTCTGCTGGGTTTCGAACCCTGGTTTACATGGTGCTAAACCTTTTCCTTACCAGTACACCAGCCTGCCTTTTGCACATTTACCTGAGATCTGATACTATTGTTTGTAGAGTCAAGGTTATCAGTGACAACTCACTTCAGCTGTGTCTGGTCAGGTGTCTGGTCCTTGGCCTATAAAAGCCACTTCCTGTCTCTGTACCTTTGCCAGATTATTGTGGTTCCTGTACTCTCTAATCAAGCTTGTTCCTGTTTCTCCTTCCTGTTGCTGAATTTGGACTGTTTTGACTTTGCTGCTTCTCCTTCCCACTGACCTCGGCTTGCCTCACTACGATTATCATCTTTCTGTTCCAGTCTCCTATCTCTGCTTAAGACCAGAAGGCCACTCAAGGCTCAGGGGCTCAACCACCTGGGTAACGAGTGGCTACCTCTGGCAGAAAACATTGCTGATCTGGCTACTGGACTCCAAAACTTTGTAACATCAATATCATTACAGCCCCCCATACAGCCTCCCATACACACACACTGCCCCCCATACAGCCTCCCATACACACACACACACTGTCCACCATACTGCCCCCCCATACACACACTCTGCCCCCCATAGGCACACACTGCCCCCCATAGGCACACACTGCCCTCCATACAGTCCCCCCATAC